AAATATTTTAAATTATTTACGTTACAGGCCAATGTTAAACCACTATCACTTCAAAATATACCCTCACTCCAATGAATTTGGAAGTAAACATCATCAGAAGTTACACAACAACAGTAATTAAGTTTTAGTTTATAAGATTATAATTTTAACTTTTAACTTTACACCTTAAGATGGTTCAATGTAACCGAAACATGTAGTAAAAAGTTGTACCAAATAAGTAAATGATATTTTAATATCTTATGTATAATTTTATTTATATACAATTGTGATTAGACGGAAAAAACACGAATAATTTACCTATTTTCCTTTACAACTGTGGGAATGACTATTCGTGCTAAGAGCAATATCTAAAAGAGACTAGTCTTTACAGCACAATCACAAATACTCCTGTTCTGTTCGTCACCGTCAGTTCCTAGAGGTGTCCCAGATGGACGGAATGTCAGTACATTGCCTTCGTAAGGGCGGGCCCTCCCTGGAATTGATGTTTCTTGCCAGGCGGAGAAATCTTTGCATAATTTAAACAATGTGTGAAGGAACAAACCATCGTCAAGAGACAATAGACTTCTGTGACAACCGGAAACAGAGGTCGTGACGAACGAGGCGTTTAGATAATTCACCTCGCGGGTTAACAATAACCAACACGAAGTCCATGGTGAGGGCACTCAAGTCGGAGCGCATTCCACAAATGGGCTTAATCCGACTAGGAATTACGCTTCTGCATTCAACTGTCTAAAAAAATAATGCAAGAAATCGAGATTTCACTACAGTTCTGAATACAGACAATAGGAGTACTGACTGTAGATTCAAAGTGCATTGTTATTCTCTTTTTAGTAGCAAATATTTAGACTCCTCAGACTGACTAGAGAAATTAGGAAAAGTACGCATTGCGCATCAATGCTAGGGCTTTCGCTCAGTTATTGCCTTTAGATTTTTAATTCGAGAATGCTAAACTTCGGAGGGGGGGGGGGGGGTCGAGAAAGGACCTCAAAAATTAAATGTTATAAACGATCTAGCATGAAAATAACTTCTGCTACTAAATACCGCAAACATGTTCATACGGGCTAATATTACATAGAGGCCTTTAACAAATTAATTTATTTATCTGTTATTCGCTTAAAATAATCTAGGCAGCAATTACGTCTATCATTAATTATATGCAAATTTATAAAATATTAACAATATTTCCGCCCCACAGAAGACATCGGAGCCGATGCCATAGCATTAAATGTTTAAAAATGCATAGAGAAATCAGATTAATTTAAAAATTTACAGCTTAATTATAGTTTTGGACTGCACTAAGGAATAGCTAGGTGATATGAAGGAAAATCGCTCGGTTCTTGAAGCCTGATAACAAGGAATCCTGGGCATATTCTAGCGGCTATGAAATCGGGGTAGCAGCTCTCCACAGCCAAGATTGGTTCCTCTGTCAGCTGAACTTCAACGCAGGATTCTTGTGAGCGATGCATGAGTCTGCCTTCCCACATCCATCGTGATTTGTTCATCCAAGGTTGTCATAATTATTAGTTTTAACGTAAGAGAGACGTAAGT